CATTTATTTTGTATATATATATAAATATATATATATATATATATATTCCTTTGTTAAATTTGTAAATAGTTTTTATATATTAATAAAACAGTAAACGAAACGTGAAAGTGGATTTTTTTTAAATAAAAAAAAAACAATTTTATGAATTTGCAAACTTTTCAATAAATTGCAAGCAGCTGAGGATTGATATTGGAACGGGGAAGTGAAAGTAAAGAAATGAATCGTGCCTTGTATCGACAGGTGACGTGGCAGAAACGTGGACAGGTGGAACAGAAGAAAAGTAACAAAAGGTATGAAAGTTAAAGCCAGTGCAATCGATCGGTCTCGATAAAATAAAAGCTGACATAAATACAGTACCTGAAAAACAGTGACAATAGCCCAAAGAAGAGAATCAAAATTCTTCCTCTCGCAATGCATACTTCCATCTCCAATTTTTTTACAGAATCTGCATCCGAAAAGATTCATGCCAAGAATGCTAAGGAGAAAAACATGCACCAGAAAATAAGATATTATAAAAAATTGCAGAATGAGCAAAAAATCAGTGCAAAACATAAGAAAATAATAATAATAATAATAATAAGATTCATTCCAGTATTAAAAAAAACAGAAGTAAGAGAGAAAAAAAAAATATACGTGAAAATTTCAATATGGCTGCAAATGTCATAAAAATAAAATTTAAGTACAGGAAGCCGTTTTCCACGTTCCAATTATAATTTTATAAGCCACCTTCAAGTTTCAAAATTATTATTCTTTTTTTTTAATGGGGAAATACATTAATATTTGGACCAAATACAAATACAAGCGAATGACGATCAAGCAACCATATTGAAAAAAAAAAAAAAAATAAGAGGATACAGAAAAATTTGCATTTGGTCTACAATTTTTTTTTTCTAGAATTTAATTAAGGAAAAGATATCCTACCTGAAAATAAAAATGAAGAGAATTAATAATGCAAAAAATACTGCAACATTATCGATAGTGCGAAGCATAACAACCAATTGACGTCGAAGTGCTGGCATAAAGCGAACTAGTTTCAGTATTCGCAGTAACCTAAAGGTCCTGAGCACTGATAATCCACTACCGCTGCTCTGACATAATTCTACTATACTGTAAGGAAATTTTTGATTGGTTATATACGTTGTTGTACTAAACAATTTTATATTTTCTAATGTATTTTCTTACTCCATTGTTAAATAAAATTTTACCTTTAATTTAATTTTTATTCAGGCAGAAACGTTATAGAATTATGCATTTTTAAGTACAACTGACAAAATTTTGTTTCTGATTTTTCTATATTGAAAAAAAGTATAGAAAAGAATCAAAAAGTTACAATATACTAGCTTCTGTGTATTGGTTCTAAGGGTTCACTCGAGGAAAGAAGTTAAACTGCTTGAGGTGAGAATCGAACTTGAATCATTATAATTCTTTTTACACTATTCTTATGTATTAAAGATAAATATTTTAATTTAAAATTCATTATCTAAAGCTTTAAAGAATGTTATTTCATATCTCAATTTGAATCTGAAAATAAATCCTTTTCTATAGAAATGTCTATTGTAATTTATGATTTTAAATTAATTTAATAAACAGAAACAATCAGAAAATGATTATAATCTAAAAGTTTCGTGAAAATAAAATTTTTTAATGGTGTGAGCTCGATTTAAAAACAATTTTTTTTTGGGTATCTTTAACGATAAAACATTTGCTCTAATTTTTATTCCAAAAAAAAAAATTTATTATAAATTGTTTCTATAATAATTAATATTAGTCTTTATCAACTTTTGCCTTGTCAAAGAACTAATATTAATTATTATAGAAACAAATAAGTGAAACGTGATTCCAGGAACAACGATATAAATTCTAATTAAATGATGCTGATAATGTTATTAGAATAAGGACAAGTCGTTAAAAAATTTTTAAAAATATAACTAAGTATAATTATAACAATTAATAAATAATATGTAAATGAATGAAATATATACGTACTTTTTTATTTATTTTTTTTTAATAAAGTATTGATTGACGAATATAAAAAAAAGAGTGTACCTGTCAACGTGTTTGCCAGCCACCTTACCTGGAAAACAGTGACTGTAGCCNCATGTTGTACGAGTCACTTAGATTTTACAAATACGTGAGCCGTTCACAGTCCGGCACAAAAATTTGTAAAATCTAAGTGACTCATACAACATGGAATTCATATAAAACGGAATTATCGACAGTGTTATAGGGGGGTCGACTTCAGTTTATCGCCATACTCGATTTAACGCCAGTTTCAGAGCAAATGGTGGCGTTATTTTGAGGTCTGACGTATATATAACTCTGATATATAATCCATTTAAACATAAGAGTATTGTATTTTTTAAAAATTACAAATATTCACTTAAAAAAACAACTTTACGGCATCATTTATCAATATCATCTAGATTATTTCATTAAAAAATTCTTTATTTAATTAATATAAAAATTAAAATTTATAGAATCATTAACTCTTCTATAAAAACAATTCAAATTCTTAAAATTTAATAAAATTTGAATTTTTTTTTAATTTTCCTCCTATCGATGTCGGTGGAATTTAAATTATTTTATTTAACTGTGAGAAAGAGATTTATCTAACTGATAATAATAGCTATTTTTGTCAGATGAATATTTAATTTTTAAATTAATTTTTAATATATTTTAAATATTTCTTGAGATTAGGGATGGGACATGATGGGGGTGACCTTACACCATCACTGTGTTTACATACACACAATATGATTTAATCTTATATTTTATTATATTTTGTAGATGTAAGGGAAGGAATAGGAGGTAAAAAGTTATCCCCTAAAATCTTAAAGTTCTTACTTGGTCGTGATATTCTATCCCCATGCTTAATGTATTGACAAGTATGGCTGTCAGCATCCCTCGATGAAAATAACCATGGTCAATAAATTTTTTTAAAGTGGTTTGTTGTGCTTTCCACCATTTGTAGCATTTTCCCTTCGGTTTTTGACAGGAACTATCTTCATCTGATTCAGAATCCGACGTCCAGTCGTATTCTGAAGGGGTCTCTTCGCCATCAGTATCTGGACAATAAAACAGAAGTTGGGGAGCCGAATGTTGCTTTTGACCTAGAATTATTTTAAAAAAAAAAGTTCTCCGTTGAATTGAAAATTGATTACAAGAATTGTTTATTTTCATTTTCCGTTCTAATAATAGTAAAATTTCGATTAAATTCTACGAAAAAAAAAGCAAAGTTTACACAAAAAGATTCATTTCTTTATTGTATTAAATCGAAGAAAATGAAAAGTACCTCGACTTAGACTTGAATAAAACCTTTGCATGGTGATATTGGTAGCCAGGTTAGCAGCTAAAACAGCGCCCTGAGCACTACCGAGTGCCAGAAGTTCTGCACATGTCAGGTGAGAGGTAGGTTGACCCGACGATGATGAAATTTTGGTCGGTTGAAGAGACACGTGCCTGGAGACACGTTTCGGTCCTTCGGTTCCATAAGCTGCAACAGAAAGAGCGATAAATTGAACAGTAACAAAAGAAAGAAATTCTCCCTAAACGTATCTTCGGGCATTACTACTTGATAAAGGAATTCAACTAATGCACTTTAATAGAATACCACATTATTGAAATTCACAAAACTCTACCAAAAAAATCTCTTAATGTCTTTCATATTTTATGTTTTTAGTATCAATAATTACAAAAGTAATCAAAAATTTAAATATTTTACTCCTGACAACAGTAATGATACGCAATTAGAGTTTAATTTTATAAGTTTTCGTGTTGTTAGTTTCAAACTAATTATGTGATAATTTTTAAAAAAAGATAAAATACGATTGTCAGTATTGATATAATATAAATTATTTGTTTAAAATTGATTTTTTTACTTACCATCGTCCGGAATATCTCGATACCTAATATGTTTCGGTCTGCGAGGTGAAGAATATATATCTACGTCTGACGTTTCAGGACTCGCACACGGTGCTGTAACATCAGCTTCCTCTGCATTTTGACTTCCGTCAGATGAATTTTTTGGTTGAATAATCCCACTTTTCATTGAACTTTGACCGGGTTTCCAAGGTTTTCTTTTCTTGGTCTGACGTAAAGAAATTGCACGAGGAGGTTGGTGCTGTTTTTGCTTTTTTCGACGTCTATACCACCTGTGTAGTTTTTTTCTGGTCCTACGCCAAAGATGTGCTATATATTTAATTATTTCTGTGTAGCAACTAGTGGATTCCGATGGACTTGTGCTAGTTATGGTACTATTGGACTGATAACGTGCTCGCTCCAGTTTCATTCTGGCCATCTCGCGCTTTTTTGTCTCAGAAAATTGAGTCGCTATCACTACGAGGCACAAGTTTATCATGAAAAAAGATCCAATCTAAAAATATCCATAGTTATTATTTAATAAAATAACATTTAATTAAATGATTTTAAAAGAAATAGAAGAATGCCAATTACCACAATGAGTAAGACAAAATAAGTCCAGTCCCAAAAAGAATGAGCATCTTGTATATAATACATGATATCTGTCCAACCTTCTAAACTGATAACCTAAATAATAAATTTTTACTAAGTATTTATATGTACGAAGCGTGCTACACCAAGATAAAGTTAAGTACTTACTAAAAATATCGCCACCCATGCTAGACCTATGTTGTCAAATGATATGGCACCCTGAAACGGATTTCGATCCCCTGCCCTACATTGCGTATAATATTGATTCCAATTAATGCAGGATGAATTTGAATTGATTGAAGTATTGCTAGGTGCTATTGCTGATGCTGTACATATTTCTCCGTTTAGGCGGCCTTTAGGGAGATTTTTGCACTTGTGCATTCCGTTATCTTTATCCAAACTACATATATAATCTCTTTCTAGATTTTGACTTCGATAATAGGAAGAAGTTGGGCTGAAAAATAAGCTTAAAATCAGTATGCATAATTTAAAACGAGTAAGCGATTGCATGCAGTTAGTTGGTAACATTCTGTGTTAATAAACACACAGCATATGCACCACAATGGCTACAAAGGATCCCAACACAACTACAACTATTATAAAATCAACCAGTGGTTCCCTGAGACGTTATCATGCAAGACCTTAATTTCATGTCCTACTCTTCCATGCAGGTCTTACCATCCATGCCTTCGTACTTTGTTTTGGTATAGATTGCAACATACATGCTTTATTTTACATACAAATAACAATATTTGTCTCTCTTTATATGGATTTTTCTGCAACGTATACCCAAACAAAGTTGGTCATGCATTTGAACGGGATGAATATAAATATATCTTACTTAACAATTTTCACTTTGTCAACATAATAGGATGAAATATCCCTGAAAAAAGTAAATAAAGTTTATACAATAGAAAAAATTCAATTAAACTGTAAAGGCAATCGAGAATATTTCATACAATCCATACAAAGATATTGAGCAAAACGAAATGATAAAAAAAGTTTTCTAATAATATTTCAAAAAACATTATTAAAAAATTGAAAAAATATCATGCAATTTACCTAAAAAACCATTCATAGAATAAGAAAATGTAAATTTAAAAAAGAAGAAGAAAGAAATTATACTCACCTCGGATAAGTGGAATTTTCAGGAAGCTCAAGGAAGCATCTTTGTCTGAGTAAACCTGCCCACAACTGAACACCAATGATTCCAAAAATAAAGAAAACGAAAAAGCATAGAAGCAGAACATTTCCTAACATGGGCAACGTATCTAATAGCAACATCACTAAGATCCTCATACCTGAAGTCATAAAATATAACTGAATCATTAATCACGAATGCATTTAGATCAATTTTAAAATTCATATCATCTGCACGACTTATTCTAAAACCCGTAACGCCATTAACTATTGAAGAGAGTAATGGATTAATGGGAGGTGATGCCGAATATTGTATTCTCTCGTAACCTCTCATAAAAATCTTTAATAGATGATTTAAAGTAAAGATGTAATAAAGAAATGATCTTATTTTAATTTAGATAAGTTAATGCAATTTAGGTGACGTTAGAATATTAATATAAGAACTCTTATACGTTAATCTAATGATATCTAATAACAATACAAATGTCCCTTTTAATGCTATTTTATCTTGTTCTATTGCTATTGATTAACAATATAAGTATTCCTTCAAGTGACATTCTATTTTATTGTAGTGCTATTTGAATAATAATGCAAGTACTTCTTGCAACATTCTAGAGAAACAATGTACAGTACATTTATACTATTTTAAAGTGAAAATAATAATAATAAATTCAAAATTTGCATAGAAAAATGATAAATTGTTCCTAATGCCATTATTCAAGTATATAGTTTCACATATAACTGCATGAAAACCATTATTCATTTGAAGAATACGTTTTTTTTAATCCCTTGCTTAAAAAATGGAATGAAAATAGGAAAATTATTGCTAAATTATTCGTGTAATTTCAATTAAATATAACTTCCTAATCCGGAGATAATACAAATTTAACAATCCCTCATTAGATAATTCACAAATTATTAGTTAGTACATGAAGTTATTAAGCATAATATATTTTACAATAGTGCAATATGAATTCTAATGATCATTAATTGCCTATTTAATTTATTACTATCGACGAATATTTAAGTATTTTTTTAAATCATTTATATTATAATCTCCTTTAAATATTAATCGTATAAAAAAATTATTAGACGTGACCGCAATCTACATACACGAAACCTTTGTTATTTTTTTTTTCCTATAAAAATGCATGTGTGTCTATGCAGAATTTGCACTTTTTAGTTTCTTTCTCTTTTATTTATGTTATATATTATTTAATACGTTGTTTTACATACTTTAAAAGAGCACAAACATTGTTTTTTTTTCCTTTTATTGATCGCATATCGTGTCAAACTATAATACGATCTGCTGAAAGTACCTATCACGTGATGGTACAAATACTTTCTAGTCACGTGATAGTTTCATCTCGTTCAAAAATTTTATATATGAAAAATTTGACACGAGAAGGGACATTTATATGTCTATATATTAAATTTAAACGAAGCTTTTTAACTTACTTGGTATACGATTTATAGCGCGAAGTGGACGTAAAACCCTGATTGTCCTGATGGCAGATAAATTTATATTCCCAACATCTAGACAATATTCCAAAGACCTTTAAAAAAAACAGTTTAAAATTTAAGTTTTATCATAAGATAACAGAAAGGAGATATGTTTATATAGCTAGAAAGGGGGAGGGGAAGAATCAAGTAGATGATTAAAGCTTAGTGTTTACATATACTTGACTATATAACTTACCCTGCTATAACAATAAAAAGATCCAACCTGTTCCAGGTTTCGGCCAAGTAAGCTCCTTTGCCAAGTATTCCCATGGCAATCATTTTGATGATCATCTCGATGGCAAAAAAAGCAAAGATGAAATCGTCAAACACCTGCAACGTTTTGCATCGATTGGTTTCACACAGTTCATCAGCACAAGGTTGGTACATACCAAGAGTAACGCAGTTCAATAAAATAACCATCATACTCATCCTTTCAAACCATTTATGGTTGGAGTTAAGGAAATTATCACTTAATAATACTAATATAATAATAATAAATAAATAAGTCTATATAAAGTTATTAATAACCGAAACTTTATAAATATACAAGTTTATAATTTTTATTTTTCTACTCTTACTTAATGATTAATGGTTTCTTAAAATAGTTTTTAATGAATCTGTGCCTCGACTTTCTACACATCAAGTGCAACAGAATACATTAAGTTGACATTATCCGATTAACTCATACTCAAATGTTTCATTTCATCGATGTAGAACAAGTAAAAAAAAACCTTTTTTTTTCTATGTAAATTAAAAAGAAATTTCCGAATATAAACATTAAAAAAATTTAACCGATTAATACAGCTTTTTAACTTTGATAATTCTTAATATAATATAAGCAGATATTTATATATATATATATATTTCAATTATCTGTTCTAGAAGTGGATTGTGGCATGTTTATCTGGATTGGGGCCAAATATCAACCAACTGGATAAATAAAGATGTATCTTCTACCGGAAGAAGTCGTCCACGGAAACATTTATCAAAAATTTATCAATAGAAAAAAATATGGAAGACATCTGTCTACAAAAATCATTACAAAATGACAAGTGCTTTTAATATATTAGAATTATTTAAAATTTAAAACTGAACAGTCTTATCTGAAATAATTTCTATTGGTTGTTATAAATGGCAATGATACTCTGTAGAAAATTATAGTAAATAATAATAACATAATTTAAAATAGTGAAGTATTTATCTTTAACACTTTAAAAGTCTTGTTTTTTTTTTAATATTGTTAAGTAAACATAACACGATAGACGTGTGTAAGCTAAAATACTTGTTAACAAATATATTTTCATTAAAAAAATTATTTTTTCAATGATACATAATGTTAAAACTAATTCTAGAATATGTTTTTAAGTATATATTTTTCATTCCCATCTCCCTCAAAATTTAATAGTTTTAATAAAATGGTGGTGTCATAATAGCCTATATTTTCGTAGGATCCTAGAGAATAAGCATGAAAAATTTGTTAGAAGTATATAAAGAACGGACAGACAGGTAGACATTCTATTTTATAAGTTATAAAAAAAAGTCATTTATTTAAAAGTAACAGAGGGAATTTAGTAAATTACAAAAACTGTAAGCAAAAAAAAAGGAGAGAAATACATATATTTATCATATGTATTTTTAAATTTGAATGAAAATTTTATAAGAAAAGAAAGGGAAATTATTATATTCTCGATGGGCTAATTTTATTCATGATATAATACAACAATAGTTTCCGTCTTACAGCTGATAAATCACAATAATGAACAGGTGAGGAAATGCAATATGCAAATGATAAGTATAAAAATAGAGAATTCAAAGGACGTGAAGCATCTTAAAAGATATAATGATTCAAAAGAGGAACAAACTCGATCGTTTTAATCCGAAAACATTTCTTTTCATTGCATTTTAAAAGAAAATTTTATACTTTTTTCTTTTTTCGTTTTAAAATACGAATAAAAAGAAAGACAATTTTTAATTTAATTTTTAATAAATAAATTTGATTATATTTTTTTTAATTAAAGGTAAAGGAAAAAAAAGAATACTTATATTAAAGAACTGAATTAACTATTACAGCTGTTAAGGTAACAATGCGAGCGCACCTTTACATGCCGATTTAATACTATTAGAGAAACAATGCGAATGACCCTTTAAATGCTATTTTAATTCTATCGCGTAATAAAGCGCACATTTACATACTATTACAGTAACAACAACGTCATTCCTTCTTAAAATCTTATCTAATGTTATTAGTATATGAATACAAGTACTTTGCAAATTAAAAAACTGGAAAAAAAATAGAACAAAATTAATCAAATAGAATAGAATTTAATACATTCTTTTCTAACAAATCGTATTATTCAAAGCAGTTTCCTTCAGGGACCTGTAGATAGAAAATAGTCTATATAAGAAAGTAGGCACAAGCTATCAAACTTTGTGATGTATTAAAGCAAACGTCACGTAACTATACCGATGTATTTATTATAGCGAAGGATGTCTTACTCGATTTTTCTGAATATATCAGAGAAGAAATTGATCTATAGACATATTTTTTTTCCATTCAGAAAGAACGAAAATCGAACTGTAGAAGCACTCAAAACTATTCAAAATAAATAGCTAAAAGTCGAATTAAAAATACGTTTTAATTATTAATCGAAGAGAAGAGAAGTTATATTTCAAGTAATATATAATTAAATATCTTTAGTTAAATCTACCGAATCATCTGTGAGTTGTCTTTCATTACCTTAATACAGTGACAATCTAATATAAAGTAATCATATGAAGTTTGATGGAATGTGCAATGTGCGAAATGGAATGTGTTGTTGGCGTGCAACTTTGTGTCAATGAGTTAACGTGACTCACACACAAAAGCTTGTATTGTATCGTCTAGAAAATTACACAGCCAACTACTAATCTAGACAAGAATAAATGAAGTTTATAAACACAATAGAAAAAAAAAAAAGAGTTTAAACAAAGATATTTCGCATATTCTACCGCGTGATGAGGTAAAAAATTCGAGATTATCATGTATAAAAGTGGGTCCACTTATCGATAAACGATAATAAAATATTATAGAAATTGTAATTGTCCATCTGCAAATTTAAACTGATAGAATTTAATTGGTTGTGCAGCGAGTGCATTAAAGTCAAGTGTCATTACAAAATAACGTTAAACTATCGATAATTGGAAGGAACTAAAACGTGAATGTTACATAAATAAAAAAATGATCTAATTCAAAGTATAAAATCCTTTATTTTTTTAAAATAAAGAAATTATATATAAATATTCAGAATATTAAATTGTTTCGAGTTAACTGAACGTCTATGATTACCAATAATTAATTTAATATATCCTCTTATAATGTAGGAATATGTAATTATTAATATTGTATATATCAAGATCTAACTGTTGCATCGGTAACACATTTCAAAACCATTTAGTATATCAATAATATATAAAATATATCAGTATCAATACAATTATTTGGTGTATTTTTATATTGTTTATTGTGTAAACTTATAAATCAATATAAGACAATAGAGATTATTTGTTAGAACAATGTTATGTACTGTATTGAATAATGAAGAGATTGTTCAATAATCTGCATTAATAATTTAAATAATATAATGTTTTAGATCAATAACACGGTGAATAGTTAACGAGAATAATTTATATATTTTTTTAAATATTAAGTATAAACGCTTTTATTGGTTGTTTTTCGATTGGGATGTTGATGGACCATCCCTCATCCCAATCTCATCTCACTACATACATCACTACAGTGTTTGTTGGAGAGAATAATGGAGTGGACCACCCCTAAAACATTAAAATGCATTGTCGTAAGTTTCACCCTTCTATCATTGAGGACACGATATAAAGCAAATTAAAGCGTTTAAAAACGTTATAGTTTATATAAAATGTGTATATATCAAAGTATATTTTAATATTTTACGTTTTCCCCCCCTCTCTCTCTCTCTGTCTCTCTCTACAGAAAACTTTTATCATTAAAAATGTTTGAATTTTTATTTCGATAATCAACACTCATTATTGATTAACCGATACATTTCAATTCTTCTTTTGTTTCGTTGTATTTCTTTCTTAAAAGAAAATATTTCCATCGTTTTATATTATGGGAATTTCATGAAAGATATTCGATTATTTCAATATTGAAAAATCCTTCCAATATTTCTTGTTTTTCTCCATTGTTTCCTTCAATTATTCTAACTTCAAATATTCCATTATTTAAAATATAAGACAAAGAGTTGTTTTAATATTTAAACACACATACACAATTCCGTCTATTTTTTTTTCTTTATTTATAAAAATTAAAATTAAATTTCTTCAATTTTACGTTAAAATCGATGGTTAAATATTCAAAATGTAGTGTTAACAATGATTAGATACTTTAAAACGTGATTTTAATTGAAGATATCCTTTAGAATCATTGCACTTTATCTTGCTGACACGAGTCTTTAATGGTGGCAAAGAACTTTGTCAGCGTCAAGATGTTTTCTAATTTAACATCTTCAAACCTTCGAATTAATGGGGTTCTCTGACATTACAGATGATCAAACTGATCTCGTAAGGTCTGTACGTCGTTTCTCCTTCCGAAACACCAGAATTGACAGTGATTTTCAGTGATTAAAGACGATAAATCATCTGTTTCAATATTAGATTAATATATATATATATATATATTTTAATCTAAATACGTTAAAGTTTTTCATTGTTTCTATATTAATATTCCAATGTTAAATTAGGCATTCTGACAGAATCATTTGGCACAAAATCAAGATAAGACGAGCAAAAATATTGCTAAAAATTTGAGCGGTTTTCTGACATTGTTCTATTTTTGGATGTATTTAAAATGTTTAAAGATATCTTCAAAAATAACTTAACTTGTAATATGCTACTCTCTATGCTATGGATGTTGAACTCTAATGCTAATTTAACCTGTAGATTCTTGTTAAAAAAGATTTTGAACTTTTTCTTTTGTAGTAATTCAGTTATTTATGACAAGTCTTCTAGCTATACTCGGATCTTTAACCTTCATAATCTCATCTCGTTTTTTGGCAGTAAAGTGCGAATACCTGCATCCCGCCGAGTTAAAAAGAAAGAAAATCAACTAATTTTGCCATTTTTACATCTTATTTCTGTAAAATATATTAAAGATAAACATTAAAACGTGTTTAAAAGACGTATATCAACGTCATTTATAATTCTTAAAATATTTAAAAAAAAAATTCTGAAGTGATTTATAAGCGTTTTCATTCTTAGAATATCTAACACATGTTTTTTTTTTTAATTTATTATTTTTACACTAAACTAAATTCTCGGTAGTACCTAATTTTGAAACGTGTTTAAAGGTAATTTGTGAGTTTACAATTTATACTTTTTTTTGTATTCTAGTTAAAGTACTCATAAAATGTAAGAAATAAAATAAAAGAATTATGCAATGAAACAACTAATTACAAATTTTTGACGCTGTTTAAAGGAGGGAAATAGAGGGGAGAAAAAATATCCTCTATTTAATTACCTGTTTAATAACGCGGCGATGTTAAAATAAGTTATAAAATATTTTGTTAATTAAAAAAAAAAACACTGACAGAAAGTCGTATTTTAAGATTGTAATCGGAAAAATTAACTTGGTAGCTTCTTAGTTGCAATTTTTCAACCATTTATCGTTGCATTTTAGATTTTTAAAACGTCGTAAAGGAATTTTCTACTGTAATATTTTCAGATAATTATCAACGTTACGTGCTGAATACAAGAGAGATTTTCTTGAAAAACATTCTGAATTTTTTTTTTACCGAAAAATCCTCCAAAAATAAAATAAATTATATCAAACTGTCATCCTCTTATATAAATCAAGAAATATATGTCACTTTATGAAAGATTTCATCTATATAAATCCAAATCTATTTAATAACGAAAAAAAAAAAAGTAAATTTCTTTTGAAATTAAATCCATGTATTGATTCCANGGTTAATAGCGATATACTAATATACTAATTACATGGGATATAATAATATACTACACTAATAATGGATTTTTTTATATTTTTCGGTTATCCGACTTTTCAATTATCCGACCAATCCCAGTCCCCAATTGAGTCGGATAATCGAGGCTCTACTGTATTCATATTCGTAAAAGAATCACTAATAAAAATATTTCTTCTTTTTTTTTTTTTTTTAAAAAGATCGAAGGTCACTCGTACACGTTCTAATACTTTTAAAGATAAATAAATTAACCAGAAAAGATTTAGCAGTACATTTGCATAGGAACTACAGAACTGGGTTAACACGTTCTACACTTAATCAATTAATCTAGCGAAACTCTAACCAATTTTACGGGTATTAACACCTTAGAGGTACAACTATTGTTCATTTATATCCAACAGTATTAGCAATCAACTTACTTATTTTCTAGATATTGAAGCTACATCACTAATACCCATTTAATGTCGAAGGAATTTTTTCATCCGTAAACTATTGTTCTTTATTTCCTTTCCAGTTATTTTTCACATTTAAAAAAAAAATTCTGAAGTGATTTATAAGCGTTTTCATTCTTAGAATATCTAACACATGTTTTTTTTTTTAATTTATTATTTTTACACTAAACTAAATTCTCGGTAGTACCTAATTTTGAAACGTGTTTAAAGGTAATTTGTGAGTTTACAATTTATACTTTTTTTTTTGTATTCTAGTTAAAGTACTCATAAAATGTAAGAAATAAAATAAAAGAATTATGCAATGAAACAACTAATTACAAATTTTTGACGCTGTTTAAAGGAGGGAAATAGAGGGGAGAAAAAATATCCTCTATTTAATTACCTGTTTAATAACGCGGCGATGTTAAAATAAGTTATAAAATATTTTGTTAATTAAAAAAAAAACACTGACAGAAAGTCGTATTTTAAGATTGTAATCGGAAAAATTAACTTGGTAGCTTCTTAGTTGCAAGTTTTCAACCATTTATCGTTGCATTTTAGATTTTTAAAACGTCGTAAAGGAATTTTCTACTGTAATATTTTCAGATAATTATCAACGTTACGTGCTGAATACAAGAGAGATTTTCTTGAAAAACATTCTGAATTTTTTTTTTACCGAAAAATCCTCCAAAAATAAAATAAATTATATCAAACTGTCATCCTCTTATATAAATCAAGAAATATATGTCACTTTATGAAAGATTTCATCTATATAAATCCAAATCTATTTAATAACGAAAAAAAAAAAAGTAAATTTCTTTTGAAATTAAATCCATGTATTGATTCCAAAATGTCCCATTGTTATTAATATGTAGTCGTCTATTTATAGAATCGTCTTCTACTTCGATAGAATTTCCAGAGTTTCAAGTAAAACGAGTAAGAAGGATAAAATATCATCAGTCGAACAATAACCCTTCGATAAAATAGATAGTCGTTTAGAATGTGTTTCTGACATTAACTATTGTCGCTATGGATGGGGTCGTGTAACCATGGTAACTAGAGAGATACATAAACACGTGACTGGATTGAGAGAAGAAATAAATACTGCCAACATTTTTCAATATCTATATTTAGTCGGTATTTTCATTCAGGTTGAGTATCTGGCCTTTGAAACTCCGATGTATCAAAGCTCTTTTTAGTAAAATTTGAGTGTTTCTATCTTTCTGTCATATTCTTCTATAAAATATTTGCACTTTTTGAGACGTATGTCAGCACAATTTCTTTAAATCTTCTTGATTTAGTTTTTTAAGTACACTCTAAAAGCTCTTCATCTCTTGTTGAAAGGAGGTTCATGACCTTTTTCTTACTATGCAATCAACCGGGAAGAGTCGAAGATGAAATTGCAGAATCAAGACTCGATGATAAATATGAAGTGGAATAAATTATTCTTCACTCTAATTAATTCTTTTATGAATGGATAAATTTCTTTAAGAGTTACAAAAGAATTTTAATTTGCTACAGAACTGAAAGTAAATTAGTTAGAAAAAAAAAGTTTTTAGTGCAATAAATTAAAGAAAAATAGTATAATTTTCACATTTAACATTCTTTTTATGTAAGAAAATCTTCCAATATTCTTGACTTCTTCATCATTTTTTTTTTCTTTTTTGCAGGACCTCAAGCCTTAAAATCATGTTTCTTTCAGATGTATCTTTACGATAATGGTGCGTGTATTTTTTTTATTTTATTTAATCCTGAAAAAATATTTTGTTTATAATAATTCTATTTTTATTCATCTTTAAAACAAAATGGTCGCATCTAAGTTGCAAGGTCATTTTTTATATTCTTCAATTTTTACTTTAAAGTATTCATAATCGCATTTGTATATTTACATATATTAAAGTGAATTCATGTTTTTTTTGACTCTATGAAAATTTTATTATTTGTTTTACTTACATTTTAAACTATATAAACTCTAAATTTATAAGAATCTGAATAAATTTTTTACAATTTCAGTGTCATATTATATAAAACATAGAATATATATATATATACATATATAAAACATGGAAATTTCGAAACTCATCCTTTATTTTATTTTTTCCTTCTTGTGACATCTTTCTCTTCACTCAGAACGAGCTGATAATATAAACAAACATCAAAACTAGGCTGAAAATACGGCATGGCATATGAAACATGATTATTTAGACGAGTTTAAATATTCTTTTCCTGTTTAGATGTAGAGAATTTAGATGTAGGTTAAATGTCACACTGTTTTAGATACTGTATATTATACCGAAAATCATGTATTTTATCTTGATTTATATGCCTGGTTTATTGAAAATANAGAGCACAAACATTGTTTTTTTTTCCTTTTATTGATCGCATATCGTGTCAAACTATAATACGATCTGCTGAAAGTACCTATCACGTGATGGTACAAATACTTTCTAGTCACGTGATAGTTTCATCTCGTTCAAAAATTTTATATATGAAAAATTTGACACGAGAAGGGACATTTATATGTCTATATATTAAATTTAAACGAAGCTTTTTAACTTACTTGGTATACGATTTATAGCGCGAAGTGGACGTAAAACCCTGATTGTCCTGATGGCAGATAAATTTATATTCCCAACATCTAGACAATATTCCAAAGACCTTTAAAAAAAACAGTTTAAAATTTAAGTTTTATCATAAGATAACAGAAAGGAGATATGTTTATATAGCTAGAAAGGGGGAGGGGAAGAATCAAGTAGATGATTAAAGCTTAGTGTTTACATATACTTGACTATATAACTTACCCTGCTATAACAATAAAAAGATCCAACCTGTTCCAGGTTTCGGCCAAGTAAGCTCCTTTGCCAAGTATTCCCATGGCAATCATTTTGATGATCATCTCGATGGCAAAAAAAGCAAAGATGAAATCGTCAAACACCTGCAACGTTTTGCATCGATTGGTTTCACACAGTTCATCAGCACAAGGTTGGTACATACCAAGAGTAACGCAGTTCAATAAAATAACCATCATACTCATCCTTTCAAACCATTTATGGTTGGAGTTAAGGAAATTATCACTTAATAATACTAATATAATAATAATAATAATTCATCATCTCAAGTAGGATTTTTATTTATTCCATCTCTATATTTCTCAACGGTCAACTAACTGTTGAAGAATTTATTAATAGTTCTCAAATGAATTTTACTAGAATATAGGCCCTATATATTCTTAAATATAAATTAAGGTACTTTTAATCGCTTTCTACCTTTAAAAAAAAAATACGAAGAATAAACGAGATTCTCTCTTCTTCATAATTAGTAATTTGAATCTGGAAGGTTTCTTAATGAAGAATGTAATTAAGAAAAAGCTCATATTCTCTTTAATTATATTGAAATATACTGTTCGTACTTACACAATAGTTTTAAAGATCTATAGTATAACTAATTTTATTAGTCATAAATAGAACAAATTGAAAGATGGAGTTTATGTCTGATTTGATATAGTACTTCGTCATACTCAATAGGTGATTTCAACCTAATTAAGTAGCTGGAAAATTTCGCAATAAACTGCTTGTTAAACATTAATTAGTCAGAATTGTAGGATTAAGTTTTGATCTCGAACGATAGGGCTTTCTACTATTATGCTTTATTGTAAACTGTAATTGGCTAAGTGAAACTCATTCTTGTACGAGTAATTATTACAAAACCCCTTTAAGCTGTAAACGATATATAGAATTTTACTCCTTAAAGACGTTTTCGACTTAACTTTTTTTTTTTTTTTTTTTTTTGAAGACGGGATAGAACATAAAATTCTTATTTTGTGTGTGTGATATTTTTAGGACGTTTAAGTTCGAAAATTGGAACCATCTGGATAGGAAAGAAAAGCAGATAAACATATATAATACCATCTGGTATAAGAACAAAGAGATTCTCTATAGAACTTTATAATCGTCAAGATTTTTTTATATATACGAGTAAGAAATAATGGCTACAAAAATCCTTTCTTGTATGGATTTGAAGGTTGTTAAAGCTATCCTGTATTGTTTAGTTTGACTTATTAAGTTTATTGTGTCAAAATAAGGTAATTTTTTTTTTTTTAAATATAGATTCGAAAATAGGATAAATGTCTAAGATTCAACTACTTTAACGAATGGCTACAGTCGTGCACAAAGCTCTCAATCAATGATGCTTCCTCTACCTGACCAAGTTGTTATGGTGATGCGGTGGAACAAGGTGAACGAACGACGAGAACAAAACAGACTGATTTTAATATCTTAACTTTTATCTACTTTAATTCGAGAGTTTAATTACAGTAAATAAAATTTCTCTCTCTTAATTATTTTTTTTCGAATACAATTTTATACACAGTAAAACTTTAATTAGAAATTATCAAAAGAAGTAGTCTAAGCTTTTATTTATTTTAAGAAAACGTACAGTACTTTATATAAATTATTATTCTTTTTTGCAGGACCTCAAGCCTTAAAATCATGTTTCTTTCAGATGTATCTTTACGATAATGGTGCGTGTATTTCAAATTATTAGTTAGTACATGAAGTTATTAAGCATAATATATTTTACAATAGTGCAATATGAATTCTAATGATCATTAATTGCCTATTTAATTTATTACTATCGACGAATATTTAAGTATTTTTTTAAATCATTTATATTATAATCTCCTTTAAATATTAATCGTATAAAAAAATTATTAGACGTGACCGCAATCTACATACACGAAACCTTTGTTATTTTTTTTTTCCTATAAAAATGCATGTGTGTCTATGCAGAATTTGCACTTTTTAGTTTCTTTCTCTTTTATTTATGTTATATATTATTTAATACGTTGTTTTACATACTTTAAAAGAGCACAAACATTGTTTTTTTTTCCTTTTATTGATCGCATATCGTGTCAAACTATAATACGATCTGCTGAAAGTACCTATCACGTGATGGTACAAATACTTTCTAGTCACGTGATAGTTTCATCTCGTTCAAAAATTTTATATATGAAAAATTTGACACGAGAAGGGACATTTATATGTCTATATATTAAATTTAAACGAAGCTTTTTAACTTACTTGGTATACGATTTATAGCGCGAAGTGGACGTAAAACCCTGATTGTCCTGATGGCAGATAAATTTATATTCCCAACATCTAGACAATATTCCAAAGACCTTTAAAAAAAACAGTTTAAAATTTAAGTTTTATCATAAGATAACAGAAAGGAGATATGTTTATATAGCTAGAAAGGGGGAGGGGAAGAATCAAGTAGATGATTAAAGCTTAGTGTTTACATATACTTGACTATATAACTTACCCTGCTATAACAATAAAAAGATCCAACCTGTTCCAGGTTTCGGCCAAGTAAGCTCCTTTGCCAAGTATTCCCATGGCAATCATTTTGATGATCATCTCGATGGCAAAAAAAGCAAAGATGAAATCGTCAAACACCTGCAANATAATAAATTTTAAGTAATACAGTACTAAATTCTAAGTTTAAAATATTTCCATTATTTTATTACACTTTCCTCTAATTAAAGAAAATCATTATTATATAACTAACATAATATAATAATTTTCCTTTTAAAATTGATGCCTAATGAGACCATTTATTATATATAATTAGATTTAAAAAAGGTTTTAAGTAGGACTATATATATATATATATATATAAAATTCTTTTCTATAAGATCTGATACACTGATCTGGATCTCATCTTTATATCTATAAGCATTGGTGGAGTTAGAAGATAACACATAAAAGTCTACCCGGCCATTAAATAAATTCTTGGCCGAATTATAGCATTGATATTGTGGAGGATATTAATGTGTCTCTAGTTTCTAGATAAGTTTACTTCTAAAACTGTTTTTTTAAAGTTAAATTAATATGTAAAGAACTTTACTAGAAAAAGAACCAGTTGAAATAACTTGTATAAAATGAGAAATAAAAGATTTTTTATAAGGACGTACTCAGCAGGTTCTCATTGCAAACGTCAAAATCATAAGATTTTCCGCTTACTTTAGATGACATTAATGTCCTTGTTGCTTCTGAAATATCAGAATTTAGCTGATTTAGAATTGACAGTTTTTTTTTTTTTTAACATTTAACTTAGAATATCTGTTATCTCTTATATAAGTAAAGCGAGATCTTCTTCCACTATAAATCTTCGAAATATCACATTTATCTGCTGAAACCAGAACAATTCACTCCAAGCTATCAGGCTTTCTGCTATTGGATTTAACAAGGCAAAAGCCTTTTCATAATTCTCCACTTTAATTCTTTTTGTAAAGTAATGTCTGAAAGATAATCTATAAATTCTGTATCCTATTGTTACCTTATTGTAATACAGACAAGAGGTAAAATCAGCTTAAAAGTCTTTTTTTTCCACCCCTTCTTCTTTTGAAAATTTAAATTTATATTTATAGAATAATTTTTATTTTAATTATCTTTTATTTTATTTTTTTAAATAAGGCCTTTTATTATCTCTTCAAAAAAATTCTAATACTTTTACTGTTTACAATAACAAATGTAAAAACTTAAAAAAACAAATACATAGTATTATAGAGTGAGTAAACTATAATTCTAAGTTAACGTAAACATTAATAATTCGGCCATATTAGCGAGAATGCCGGATTACTGAGTGTATTTAAGTCTAAATTAAATGAATAACACGATCTGTCTCTTTTCAATTATACTTAAAACAATTAAAACCATGTATTTTTTCTAATAATTCACGACATAATCGATAGTTTATAAATAGACTAGATTATATCTAAATTAAGTAACTTAATAAAGTAAACTTTTAGTATATTCCTAAGAGCATTTCTATAAATCATTAAAAAAATAAATAAATAAAATAATAAAAAAAAACGAATTTTATTGATTTTAAAATCGAAATTTTCCTATCTCTAAAAGTATTATCGATATTACAAATCTCAGAATGATTGATTACGAAGTCGAAATCTGGATATTCGAGTTGATTCACGCAAAACTAAGATTGAATATGAAAATATTTAAGATCTGACATAAAATCATGAAATTCTACTCAATCTTCGATATACATTTTTTAAAAAAAATCGACACTTTCAGAAGACATCTCAATAAAAATTTAAGAAGAAAAAAATACATTAATTTGAAACAGTATTGAATTTTCTAATGGATTTCTTTAAAAAAAAAAATCTTTTCTAGAGAGAATCTTTAGAGTCTTTTTAGTGATAGAGTATGAATAATGGTCAAATATCATTATGAATATGTTGGATAACGAATCAAGTCATTTTATTCCTATTTTCTTTTGATACCAGACAGTGATTGGTGATAAATTATTAATCATGACAAGAAGAAGTCATTACAAAATTTAATAATTACTCATTTTTGAGTTAAGTCTCTATTGAATAAAGCATTTAAAATATTAATCTAGTTAGTAGATTTTACGGTAATGTCATCTAATTACTTCGTGACATCTCTTAAGAGTTTTACGAAAGAGACTTGCATATGAATGGATTCTGATGTCATGAAAGAACGTGTAATTGCAAATTCTTCTCTAATAATTTATACGAAATTTAAGATATTAGTAAACATGATTATTATTATTATTATTTTTTAATCTAAAAAAAGATAAGACGGTAGAGAAATTGATGTATCAATCCCATCCCCTTTATGAAAAAGCACGTTGTATTTAAAAACGAAAGTTGACATCTTGTTAATGCAAAACTATTAATTAATGCTCAATCTGTTTAATTTCACACGCATTAAATATCAGAGAACGATACAAACTTTATATTACTTCATTTAATTTTCGTCATGCACTAGACTAATCACGAAACAGTATGAATAATATTTGATATCATAACATAAGGAGAATTACATTTGCATTTTATTATTTACTTTCTATAAACTTTTCTCTTCTTTAATACTTTCTATTTAGAACATTAAAGTAAAAAAAAAAGTATTATTGTCTCTTAGTCTTTTATTAGAAAATTCTAAAATTATTACTGTATTAACATTCTCCGAATCCGTTCTATTTTTATAGAAGCGTTAGGGTGATA